TTTGAGGGTATGCCTTGTAGACTGCCGCCCATATCCTTAATGGAGTCCCAACTAAAAAGGTTGTCAAAACACCTCACGAGACGTAGATAGGGAAGATTCCCTCGTTAGCACACATCAAGGTTTGGGGTTGCGAGGCTTTCGTGAGGCACGAGACCCACGAGAAGCTCGAACCACGGAGTGACCGGTGTAGTTTCAAATCTCTTCTACAGACCGAGTGACAATGTTGTTTTTGTTTCGAGGAGAGGGGCTTTCCGAGAGAGGGAACTCATATTCCAAGGGGACAGTAGGAGTAAAATTGACCTTGAATAACTTCAAGAGTTAACCGATGAAGGAACCTCAAACACTAGTGATCAACCTAAGGAGGAAACTCCAGTTGAGCCGATTGACAATTCTGTACCTCTGAGGCATTCCAGTAGAGCTAGTGTTCCACCTATGTTGTATGGTTTCCATATAGCATCTGAGGGGGATACATTTATCAGTGATAGCACACTGATGAATCTAGATGAACCTAACAACTTAAAGGAAGCCATGGCAGGCCCCAAGTCTGCTAAATGGAAAGAGGCTATGGACAGCGAGATTCAGTCCATGTATGACAATCAAGTTTGGAACTTAGTTGACAATGTACCTGGTCATAAAACAGTCGACTACAAATGGATCTTTAAGAAGAAGACTACATGGATGGGAAATGTCACACCCCAAAACCGATGGCGGAAACGTTCTAGGGCGGAGGACGTCATGTAAAGTATCACAACCAATATACATAGTAAGCATAGCAAACACAAAACATTACATTACATAGAATCATTACATTTGTTTGAAAGTAGAAAAGCAAAGTAATACATGTTTATAGATACATAAGTTTAAACAAAAGTTAGACGTGACTTCCATCAGCTCCGTCTTCTGCAAAAGGATGTGCGATACCTGTCTAAGGAGAACCTGAGAATACAACCAGTTTAAAAATCAGCATAAAGCTGGTGAGTTCATAAGCTGTTTGTTTATGTAAAAAGATCATGTTTCCTTTGGTTTTTCTGAAAAGTTGTTATCCAAGAAAATCCCATATTTTCTAACATGTTTGTCGATTTCCATAAGAGAGACTCTGATTATCACCAGTACGATAAGAAAACCATAAGTCGAGATCATTGGATTTACCATCCAATACGAAAGTAGGTAGTTTTAATATATAAAACTATAGATTAAAGGAAGATATAAAATCCGTGAACAAAATCTATATTAATACGTATTGTGATTCGGATAACCATGCTAATATGATAACGAGACCTCCTTGACGTTCTTCAGGCGTCAGACGATATCCATAAGTTGTCACCCCAAGTGTGCCCGCCTAAATGTAGCTAGCAGTTAAGGTGTGGGATTGTCAGTCCCGAATAGATCTATTCACAAATTCCACGCTCTCCCTCCAGGAGACTCTGGTTATACTTCCGGGGAGGATTTACTGATGACCCAAAGGGTTTAATGAAGATAAATCTCACAAGCTAGTATTAAACTATTCACAGTGTACTCGGTCGTTATCAAACATAATAATCGTTTTAAGACATAATATAGTAAAAACAATTGAATACAACGAATTTATTAGGCATGATACTTTAAATTAAACAGAGATAAACTGAATCAGACATAGTTTATCTATTAACTTTGCATAAAATCTGTGCTCGTAAAATAAGAACTAAAGATCCCAAATTATTCCAATAATAATTTGATTATTTTGATTGTTTCTTACACTGTAATTGAAATCTACTTAGTTATATTCAGTAAAACATCCCTTATGCTCCGCATGATACAAAAGGGGTAATGATATCTAAAAGTTTGCCACATATTTATAGAATTTCATCAGTTTTATGTTTTGAAAACATATATAGTTTGCTTGTATTCCCCCCTGAAAACATTGAAAAACACGAAAAAAGGCGTAGGGGTATGAACTCACCAGTCGAGAAGTGTGTCGGTTGGATGCTAATTGTCAGTTCGGGGATTGAAAACACGCGAGGTTTCTATGTAATATGAAGAGATAGATAAATTGTATCTAATTAGACCTTGATCTATTAATTAATAAGAATAAACACTTCTAGACACGAAAACACTTCAATTCAAGTGTTTGGAGTGACCCGGGTAGTATCTAAGGGTGTGTATGACTAGAATATGGAGTTTGCTCTTCAAGAGTAAACTCCTTATGGAGTTTACTCTTGGCCCAAATGACCAACTCCCCATGAGTTTACGGCCGTAAACTCATGGTGGGGTGTTCTAGGATGCTTAATGGTCTTTAACTCATGAGGGGTGATGCTAGGATCAAATCTAAGGCATAGGAAGTGGTTTAACTAATAAAGGGACCATTTAATGGAGTTTACGACAGTAAACTAGGAGTTTACGGCTGTAAAATCTCTCATACCCAATCCTTATGTGTTTTAGTGGTCCAAGATTAATCACATGTGATTCCAACTCATTTTAGAAGTCATTAGATGAAGTTAAGGCACCATTTGACCAAGTTATAGGAGTTTACGGCCCAGGAACCCATCCTTGGGGGTTTTACGGCCGTGAACTCCCAAGGGACTTGTTTTTATTAAGTTTAAGGTCTCTAACACATTTGTGGTTGCTTCTAGACATTATTCCAAGGCTTAGGAGGTGTTTAAGGGGCATCTTAACACCTTTAAAGGGGTTTACTGCCCATGAAATAGTGTTTACGATCCAAGCATGTGCTTGGGCCATAAACACATGTTTACCCCTTAAATGATGAGTTTTTGGTGTCCCAAGTCCAGTAATGTAAGCCCCTAAGTCATATCTAAGCTCCAAAGGTGGTTTGGAAGGATTTTGAGGCTCAAAAACCCCATATATGTGAGTTTACGGCCCAAGAGTGTTCCAGGGATGTAAACACATTTTTATGGTTCTTTTTCATAATTTAAACACGAATTTGAAGGCTAAAGATGTTATACTATGAGCTAGGATAGTTATCTTACCGATTTGGAGCTTGGAATGGAGTGATTTTTGGATCAAAAGCTTAGATATGTAGAGAGAGAGTAGAGAGAGTGCAACATTCCAAGACTAAGCATATAGCACTGAGGTATCATTTCATAAAGGATCATGCAGAAGATGTCAATGTTTAAATTCACTTTGTGAGATCCTCTAATCAACTGGCAGATAGCTTTACGAAGGCCTTACCTGAAGAAAATTTCAATCGTATTTTGCAAGTCTCGGAATGATAGAAGTTGAATCAGTTCTGAAATCCAATTTGTAATTGGAAGTTACTTTTCACGCTCCGAGCTTCGAAATGCTTCAAATTTCATTGTTCATCATGGTTTCGGAACGTGTCTATATACTTTGTATATTATGTGTTTTCGGATTGATTCTAAGCTTCAGAATGCTTCGGAGGCCACTATTCATTTGTTATTTTGAATTTTCTGTTCTTAATCTTTTTATTTTTTGTTTTTATTTACTTTTTAAAAAAATCCAAAATTTACAAAAATATTTTTTTTTTCTGTTTTATTCTTTTTCAGAAAACTCCAAAATTACAAAAATATTTTCTTTATTTCTGTTTTATTCTTTTCAGAAAAATCCAAAATTACAAAAATACATTTTTTTTATTTTGTTCTAGGACTACTTGGAGAAGGAGTTTTTGATTTAGAAGCATGATGTTGCATGTTGTCCAAAGAACGATGGGACAAATATGACATTCTAAATCTTTGTACTAGTTAAGTGTCCCTAGAAGCATGGTGTTGCATGTTCACCAAAGCCTCTAAGACTCTATGTTTGAAGCCTTAATCATTCGATATTATCAATCATTTCTTCTCAAATAGGCTATAAATTCACATAAGTCACTGAGCTATCTTACTCTTCTCAATTGAGTTAAAAGTTAACTGCATTGTGATTCCTATTAGTAGAGGTAGACTTTTATCTTCGAAACCATCTCCAATATTTCTCCATTCTTCTCACTTCCATAAACGTAACCCTCAAGAATCTCATATATTACCACTGAGGTTTATGGTTACATAACCTCTGTGTTCATGATCTTAAATTCGTTGTCACCACGAATTGAGTGAAACCTAAAATCCAAAACCAGATTCTAAATTGAAGTTGAATAATTAATATGTTCTAGATTTTTCCCCATGGAATTGATGAAAATCAACCCTTGTGGTTTGTACCTAGAAATCTCATTATTTTTTAATTTTGCGAGATCTTGATGAAATCCACTCGACCCAAGACTTTTCTTCCCAAAAGATCTAGCTTTTATTTTTTTTCTTGAGATTTCAATATTATCCAGCCAATTAAACAAGTCCAAAGCATACTTGTTTTTATGGCTACAAAGGTTAAACAAGTACTTCTACCATTCTTTCGAACTTATATTGAGTTTCAGAATTTGGTTGAGGATTAAGCCACCCTTAAGCCTATTTAAAAGAATCATTTTCACTGTTTCTCAACAAACAGATGATCGTAATTCAACGGGATCCCACACAAGCACTTCTGAATCTCTCTTGATTCAGAAGGAAGAGATCGTTACCCGTGATCAAAATGATTTTGTGTCGATTTTCAATTGACCTTACAAAAATCTCATAGATATAAAATTTCTTTATTTCTTTTTCTTTGGAACAATCTTGCATAAAAATCTTTATGATTTTTCTAAGTCTTGTTATGATTTCGATTGGTTACTGATTATTCTGAGACAGGTAGTTGTGATTGGTTCTTGATTTCGAATGAGAGAAATGAAACAGTGGTTTCTTGTTAATAATATTTCAAAAAGGCATGTTACCTTTTCAAATCCCTGGCATCACACGTGGTTAGTTGTAACGCCGCATGACAATTACAGTTTTCACGTCAGTCAAGGCTACTTTATCGGGATATGGAAACAGCAAGAGTGATTTTCTCTCACTTATCATGACGTATAAAAGGGATTTTTCGATGCTTTGCTTTCTCTCACCACTCTCAAAGACTTCAAATGTCTCTCTCAAGGAAAAACCCTTTTCTCTCTAAATTGTTCATCTGTGTCTTCATCAGTTTCCATGACTGCTTCAACACACATCACTTCCTTTGCAGATCAATCCACCTCGATGATTATGCTGAACATTAAACTTGGCCAAAATCTAATTCTTGATCTTGATGCCTCCTGTTACAATGAACTTCTCTATCCAATGATTGAGTGTCTAAGGTATTCTCCTCTAGTTCAAGCCCTAACAATGGCGTACAGTCTTCCTTTGGTGCATCTCTCTAAAGCCTACTCATCTGTGAATTATAGTCAATCGGAGGAGCTTATTCACTTTGAGGTATCTACCCATAAAACCACACTTTCTAAGTCTCAATTCTATAAAATTTTGGGGCTTCCAACCACTTCTAGGCTCATAGACCCAGAGTCGATTTCTATCACAGATCTTGTGGAGATGTTCTAGCAACTTGGTTACTACAGTGACTTATCAGTCTGGTCGAAGTTTCGAAAGACCTTTCTTCCACCCATCTAGAATGTCTTGTTTACTCTTCAATTCAAGGGATTTTCTGAAAGGTTTATTGGATCTGATAGCGCAAGTCGCTTGTTTTACACCCTGATTTACGGGCTCTATCACGACATCAAAATTGATTTCGGGTCAGTTCTTTGGACTCAATTGATTTAGATCACAATCTCTTCTATATGGCATACCGAAATCTCTTGTGCTCGATTTTCGTCAGTTATCGTCAAACGAATTCTTCATCACGACAAGGTTCCTTTAGTGAAGGACTTTGTTATGGCTGCCATTCCGATCTTGTAGACTTCCTCCTTTATGATGTCTGATCCGACAAAATTCACCTTCTTTGGTACTATCCCAGATGTTATGTTAGATAAAGTCCTAATGGACAATGCAATCGTTGGTACATATCACACGCTACCTTCTTCTGGTGCTAGTCCAATCACAGAAAATTTCCAAAAGATACTTAAATAAGTGGGTAAACCAAAGAGAGGTGGAAAAAGAAAAGGGAAAGCTAGTTCTTCTGAACCAGTAGCAACTTCGAAGAATAAAGTTAAGAAAGCCGCTCGGAAGCCACGGTCCCCATCTCCTGTTCAAGAGGCTTCGAAATCACATACTCATTCGGATCGAAATGAGCGTGAGGTTTTTCGGAATGAAATGGACGATACATCAGATACTTCTAAACCATTGGTTTCAAAACCTATTCCAACAGACTCCATACTGAAGCCATCTTCTCCAGTTTCTACTTTTATTCCCTTAACTGATGATTTCTTTAACTTGCCTACACCTCTACCCTCTCCGACTACCACTTCATCTCTGATTTCAACTACCACATCAATTACCATTCCTCCATTCCCGAATGTGTTTTTATGTGTTTCACAACCATAGATCTCTATTACCCAAACCACTCCACTAAACACTGATTTGACTGCAACAACAGCCACTTCCACAAGTTCACCTGAAGTGACTGTCAACATATCTGATACGAGGGAAGGTGCTTTTAGTGTTACTGTTGGTTAAAGTTCCTTTCCATTCTCGCCCTTAAGGGATGATGATCCTAGCATGATTTTTGGTGATAATTGGGATGATTTTCAAGATTTACACTTCATTCCCTTCACTATTCATCAGTCGAGTGAGGACGACAAGCACCCATAACGAAAGGGTAGTTCAACGCCCTTAATGAAAAGTTGGATATTCTGCTTGAGTCTTCTAAATCTTTGTCAAATAACGAGTATTCCTTTGAGGCTCACAAAGCGTTAATTGAAACTCTCACCAAGGAGCATGCCAAAAGCCTCATTGCATATGCAAAAGCGGTTGAGAAATCTGAGAAAATAGTTCGTGAAATGACCAAAAAAGTTGAAAACTATTTTTTGAAGTTACTCAAGTTATGGAGGATTTTCGAGTTCCTCTGATAAGAACATAGAAGCTGCAAACAAAGTAATTATGAATCTCAACACCACTCTTCAAACTGAGAAAGAGGCTCTCTCCAAAGTTCGTTTCGATTTGAAAGTGGATAATGCCAAAATGAATGCCTCAATAGTCTCCAGGATTGAGAAGCTACAACAGGATCTGGCTACAGAGAACAAAATCATGAATCATCTTGCTCTCAAGACTAAGAAAACAAAAGTCCTTTCTCAGAAGCTGTCTCATGCCAACCAACAAATTAGCAATCTTAAATCCAAAAAGGTTGTTCTCAAAAGTTGTGTAGCAAATGTAAATCTTTACTTGCAAAATCTGGTAGATGCTCGTGACTCGTTGCTCACGGTCTCGGTACCACAACATCTGGCCAAGAAGCTCAAACCAATCTTCTCCATTCTTAATCATATTGAAGGTGTTTTAGAATCGGATGCTCGTCCGAAACAAGGGGGAAAACCTAAGAAGACATCTAGTGAAGAACCCAAGAAAACAGTTGGTGATTCTGATGAGAATGAAATCAAACCACATCTGAAAGCAAAAGGTCAGAAGGGTAATGAAGCTTCTTGATCGAAAGGAAAAGGAAAAATGTTTGATGACGATGAAGAAGAAGAAGAAGATTTATCAGAAGGGGCAAAGCTCAAAAGAAAATATCGTGGCAAAGATCTTGATGAAATTGATCGTGTTGCTAAAGAAGCTGAAGCTCGTGAAAAGAAGGCTCATGATGCACAGGTTTACCATGAAACACAAAAGGCCCTCTTCCCTCCTTGGTCTATGGAGCGGATTCTGAATGAGGCCATTAATACTCCGAGTGTTTACTGGTTGGATCCAGTTGTTTCATTTGACTTGGAAAACACTTTGGAATCTCAGTTTGATTTCCCTATCACTCTGAAGGCCTTTCTGTTTCAACGTTTTAAAAAGATTGAGACAACTCTTATTACAGATAACGATGTCAATCATATGCTTTTTTCATTCTATCTTAAGCACCGGAGGCCTCAATATTAGACTTGGATTTTGAAGAAGACAGCTGCAGTGGAAGTTTTTGGACCGGTTCAAACAAAAAGCTTCATCAACATTCGATTCAAAGCAGTCCGAGGAGCAGGGAGTTCGATATTTGAGTTCACTCTCATTGACTTGCCGTGCCAAAATCCATATGATTGGATTTCTTTGTTCACTCTCTTGTCAAAATATGAACAGAAATTCAAACCAATTGTGATACATCTGAAAAGGATATTAGTCTTCTACATTCAAGAAGTCGGAAAAATGGATATGGAGATTGATGATGTGTTGAGAACGAGATCAACTATACAACCTAAAGAAGCTCTGAATGATGTAAGTAAGATGAAGCTTGGAAAAATCCGAAAGGATAACTGGAGCGTGGCGTTTCAACAAACAGAAGGCAAGAAGGTTCAAAAGTGCTTGTTTTGCTTACCAGACAAGCATCTTTATTCTACATCCCGTCTGAACTACATTTTGGGGATTACAAAAGAGTGCAAAGTGAATGATGTTGCGGATAAAAAGTACTTCGCAGATATGATCAAATAGTACATCGTGGTTTGTAACGTTTTTTTTGGATTAATGTCGAAGCTGTTCAAAGTTCAGAAACGTCAGCCGCACTAAAGAATCTACCTTCTTTAATTGACACAAAGGGGGAGATTGTTAGGATATATAGTGTTGTGTCAATTTTTGTACTAGAATAGCCCATATTGTAATGGGTTGGGCCTGTCCACCCTAGTTTTAATGATATTAGGGTTAGACTATTTATAGTACATGCATGCACCGTTTTAGGGTGAACAAAGTGGTATATCGCAGCGTAGTATTTACTGAGAAGTTCTTGCTGAACTCTTATAAAGCTATTGAATTTAATCATTCATCACTATTTATTCTTCGTTGTTCTTATTATTTGGTTGATTTCACTTGTTAGAATCTACCGATCTTTAATTTCTTGTTTCATCAAATCAATTTTATGGAATATTTCCAAGTAGAAGACGATGGTAGACTCGACACGTGACTCACAGTATACTATAGCTAGTGAAGCAACAAAGGTGTAAAACCAAGCCAAATTAGGTATTTCCATTCTTTAAATAAGTATTTAATGATTGTAAAAATGGCACATAGGTTGGCGTACTTGGGGCGTACGCTGAGTGTAAACCCTTAATAAATGGTGTGGGTCTTTTGAGTACGCAGGGCGTACATATTGAGTATGTAGGGCGTACTCGAATGATGTCTAAACCCCAATATTTAGTGTTTGAGCCCTATTTAAACAACCATAATTTTCATAAATCCCTTCCACCTTTAGTTTCCATCCTCCCAAACGACCCCTTGCAATCCTTATATTCATTTAAGAGTTTTTGAGCTATTGGAGTGTTTTGTGTTCATCTTTAAAGGGAATAGATCATTGGAGTACACTTGGAAAGCTTCAAGCATTGTAGATCTAGGATTTACGCCTCTCAAGCAACCTCCACAAGGTATAAAGTTTTCAACTTGATGAATGCTTCACTAGATCTTGTTAGTTCTTAAGTTTTGTGCATTTTGGTCCCATAATCTTGGTCTAGTTGACTATGAGCTACTCCAGACCTTATAAGTAGCCTTCTCAGATGTTGTGAAGTGCATGGAGTCATAAAAATGTGATCTTGATCCTTTCCTTTCATCCATTCATGAATATTGGGGCTTAGAATGTTGTGATATGTTAGGGTTTTTAGATTTTGACACTTTTTAGTCATGTAAAATCAAAAATTTGGAAACTTTATGATTAAGGAGGTTATTTGTAATAACGTGAATTTTTAAAACAATTTTTCATCTTTCATATAACATAAAATCATTCAACATTCTCTAATTCTCTAGTTTAACAAATGTCATCACAATAAAAACATATCCCAAGATCATAAAACAAATCTCTTGCCAGTGTGTACGGATCATGTCGGCGCCTTCCCACGATCATCGCTAGCACCTGAAACACATAACACATAACACTGTAAGAATAAATGCTTAGTGAGTTCCCCAAAATTCCACATACAACACATACGCTACTCATAGCCATAACTCTATGGGATCTTCCGATCCATGTGTCTTAGGGGACTTCCGTCCCAACTTTGGTAGACCTTCCGGCCCTACCCGTATGACATTCCGGTCCTCATCATCTTGACCTTCCGGTCCATATCATGATACTCATAACATAACATAGCACATACATATCACATAGAAACACATATCACATACTTAGCACTACATATAAGACCTTCCGGTCACACATAGTTACCACTCTAGGTAAAGTATAGTGAGAAGACTCACCTCGTATGCTGTCTAGTAATGCACGTGCTCGGTATCCCTAAACCTCGTAACGATAAACTAGCCCCGCCTAAACATATAAGCAATCATCTCAAATCAATAACGGCTCTCAAGGCTAGACTAGTTTGTCCCAATGATCTCTCAGAAGGCTAAAATACCACTTTACCCTTCTAATGGTCCAAAAGTCCAAGTGTTGACTCAACCCTAAAAGTCAATGAAAGTCAACGGTCAACTTTGACCAAACTCGTCGAGTGCACATAGGTGACTCGGCGAGTCAAAGCGTGTACTCTGGATCCTTCTAAACCTCACTCAACTCGTCGAGTGAACCTTCCATTCGACGGCTACATCCGGACATGAGTTGTGGGGCAACCCGACTCAACTCATCGAGTCCCCTTATGGACTCGGCGAGTTTCTTCCATGACAACCAAATCAACCTTATGAGGTCAAATATGCTTCTCTAACCTATAAATCTGACCTTTTCATACCCACTAATCACATAAAGGTGAAACCTTTAAACTCATGCAACACATATATGGTTCCTTTTTAAGAAATAGCCTTAAAAATGGCAACCTAAGCTCATTCCTAAGTTCATTCTTTCCATATCACTTCATCACTTCATAAAAATGAATAAGGCTCTCTAGACCTCTATGGATCCAGATCCATATTCTAATGCCTAAAGGGACCATAAACTCATCAATTCAAGGCATAAAAAGGGTATAGAAAACCCTAGATTCATAGATCTCAACCAAAATAGAAGGAGAGTTCGATTTGCTACCTTAGTAGTGAAGAACTGAGGTTGAAAACCCCGAATCAACCACTCCCTTGACGTCCTCTTGCTGGAAACAACCTCTTCTTTGCAAAACCACGCCAAAAATGATCAAAAATAACTCTATCTCTCTCACAACTTGCTCAAGCTCTCAAGGGCCTCTCTCTCTCTCTGGACTGGTAGTCGCAAATGAGGGCTATAAGGTCCCTTAAATAGGGCACATGCCCAAAAATTTAGGGTTTCTGTCATCAGCACAAACTCATCGAGTTCACCCATTGACTCGCCGAGTCCGTTCGTTAATCTAGTCAGCAATCGCGATCCTACTCGGTGAGTCTAAGCGTCAACTCGTCGAGTCCCTCCTCAAAACTTCAAATTAAAAAATTAAAATATGATACCTAGAAATCTGGATGTTACAATTCTCCCCAACTAGAATCAGGCTTTGCCGTCGAAGTCTCATTCTGTAAACAACTCTGGAAGCTGCTTCCGCATCTCCGCCTCCGGCTCCCAAGTCAGCTAGGACCCTTCCCGATGTTGCCACTGGACCTGAACCAGGGGCACCTCTATGTTCCTCAAAACCTTGATCTTCCGATCCACCATCGCGATTGGACTCTCAACATAGTTCAGGCTCGCATCCACCTGAATATCCTCCAATGGTACAACAGCCGATTCGTCAGCTATACACTTCCTCAACTAAGACACATGGAAAGTATCATGTATCTGGACAAACTCTGCAGGTAGCTTTAAACGATACACTACCCTGCCTACCCTTGCGGTCACCCTAAAAGGACCAATGTACCGGTGCCCCAACTTGCCCCTCTTCCTGAATCGGATCCCTCCTTTCCAAGGAGACACCTTCAGGAGTATGAAGTCTCCAACTTGAAACTCAAGCTCGGATCGTCGTCTATCCGCATAACTCTTATGGCGATTCTGGGCTGTAAGCAATCTCTAACTGACCTGCTGTATCTGCTTAGTCGTCTGAAGCACTATCTCAGTGCTACCTAATACGTGCTGCCCTACCTCTCCCCCAGCAAATAGGAGTCTGACATCTCCTCCCATATAACAACTCGAAGGGAGGCATACCAATTCTCGAATCGTGGATGTTGTTATAGGAAAACTCAGCCAATGGCAAGTACGTTTCCCAAATTCCTCCAAAGTCCAACACACATGCTCGAAGCATGTCCTCGAGCGTCTGAATCATCTACTCACTCTGCCTGTCTAGCTGTGGGTGGTATGCGGTACTGAAATGCAATCTCATTCCCAACTCCTCATTGAACTTCTTCCAGAACCTGGAAGTGAAACGTACATCTTGATCTGAAACAATCGATATCGGTACGCTATGCTGCGATACCACCTCTCTCACATACACCTATGCCAATCTCTCTGCGGAAGAGCTCTCACTGATATCAAGGAAGTGAGCGCTCTTCGTCAGCCGATCAACGATCACCCAAATTGCATCAACACCCCCTCGCAGTCCTCGGCAATTTGGTGATGAAATCCATAGAAATTTGTTCCCACTTCCACTGGGGATCCTCAAGTGGCTTCAACTTCCCATGCGGACGCTGATGCTTGGCCTTAACCCTGCAACATGTCAAGCATCTCTCAATAAACCACGCCACATCTCTCTTCACACAAGCCCACCGATACTCTCTCTTCAAATCCAAATACATCTTAGTGGCCCCAGGATGGATCGAAAACCTCGATCTATGCCTACTCTATCATAATGGTACGCGCCCCACCCGTAAAAGACACTCAAATCCGACCCTGAAAAGTCATAATCCCTCGGCTATCGGTAACAAACTCAGATACCTGACCAATTACCCGCTCCTTCTTGTGGTTCTCCAATCTCACAGCCTCTGCCTAGGCCTCTCGAATAATGTCCAATACCTGAGTCATCATCTTCAACCGCATACAGATGCGTCGAATCGGGGCACTCTCTGCCCTACGGCTCAGAGCATCAGGTACAACATTAGCCTTTCCCGGGTGGTACAGGATCTCACAATCGTAATCCTTTACCACATCCAACCATCTCCTCTGGATCATATTCAGGTTGCGTTGATCCATCAAATACTTCAAACTCTTGTGTTCCATGTATATGGTACACCGAACCCCATACAGATAGTGACGCCAGATTTTGAGGGCGAACACCACTGCCCCCAACTCCAGATCGTGGTTGGGATATCTCACCTCGTGAGGCTTCAACTGCCTCGATGCGTACGCTATCATGTGCCCTCTCTACATAAGCACCGCCCCCAACCCTGATATCGATGCGTCACAATATACCACAAAATCCACCATCCTTTCCGGGAGGGCTAATACCGAGGCTTCGCATAATATCTTCCGGGAGGACTAATATCGGGGCTTCGCATAATCTCTGACGAAGCGTCTCAAATGAGGTTTGCTGCTCTGGACCCTAACTAAAAGTCACGCCCTTCCGGGTCAACCTGGTGAGAGGAACGACAATCTTGGAGAAATCCCTAATAAATCTCCAATA